CACACAGGCTATTTCCACTCTGTGCCTTGATTTCCTCATCATTAGAATAGGAATAGAACCTACCTCAAAGGGCTGTCATAGGACTAAACAAAGAACTATTCATATGTCTGTCATTATCCCTTGTAAGTAATGCTTAATAAATGTTAGCTATTATGTATTACGTCACTGAGAGGTGACGTAACTTTGGAGATTACACAGCTACTAAGGTATGGAGCCTGGATGTGCGGCCAGTAGGAGGGCTTCAGAGCGTATACTCTAAACTGTCAAGCGCTTCTGCCTCCCCTTACCTTGCTGCCATGCACACGAAGAAGTCAGATCAGACGGTAACTAAAGTCCCCTCTAAAGCTAACATTTTATTCCACCAGCAGCCCTTTAATCTGCTTATTTCAGGGCAGAAGCAGGGACACATGTGATCCCGCTCACATGCCTATACACTAAAGTAGAGAGGTACAGCTTGGGCTTAGAGTAGGCCCGAGAAACCATTCCAGCATGGAATAATCCATAGGTTAAGCCAGGAAGAAAAAGTGTTCAGTGTGAGACCCCCTTATTGATCTATGAAGATTATATTTGTTTCTAGGAAGCCCAGAATTCACTCACATGCCCGAGCTATTATAGGCTGAAAATTTAATTTACTTATAAGCCTGCTAAGAACCACAGTAGGTTCTAAATCCAGAATTGTTAGAACACTGAACAACTTTTATCCTCTTGGGAGTCAAATGTCTCTATCGGAACCTAGTAAAAGCTCTCTTCCAACCCCCAGAAAAACTGTCATGTGCACTCAGTTGTATACACAAGGATACACAACTTTACCTGCAATTTCGAGGGGTTCAAATTCCCTAAAATCTTTCTGTAGACTTTAAGTATTTCTTGGAACGCTACTTCCACTTTGTTCCAGGGTTGTCCTCCCAGGGGATTCAGATTTGCCCTGGGATCTAGATTGGGGTTTCTAGGCAGCCGTGTTGAGGAGACAAATCATCTATTGCAACTCAGCATGATTAATCCTGCATGGAAAAGACAAAGGGCCTTCTCTTTCTCTCCCACACCAATTTGTACTGAGAGAATTCAAACAGAAACAATCTGTAATTTAATCCCAAAACACTAGTGGATGAAAAACAGGAACCCAAGATTATTTCGTGTCCCTTGTCTACCTCACAGAACTGCACAGAATCTTAGAAGTATAGAAAAATAACAGATAAAAACATCCTAGGCCACTGTGCTCCTCCTTTTATTCCAAGAAAGAGATCAGTCAAGATTACCAATTAACCTTTATCGATGACTTTTCTCCTATATGGGCTTTGAAAACTACAGGTTACCAAAAAAACCATGTAACCTCATTTATAATTAAAGAAGTAATCAAAACAAGAAGATAATCTTTCCCTTAATAAGGTGGTTTAAGTGTCGGTAAGGATCTGGACAAATGTGTAGTCGCATGCATAGTTGGGGGGTAGGTTTGTAAATCATTGTGGCCTTTGGTGGTGGCAGGACAATGTAACAATTTTTATCAAAAATATAAAAACAGAGGCACCTGGGTGGCTCAGTCGGTTGGGCATCCAACTTCGGCTCAGGTCATGATCTCGTGGCTTGTGAGTTTGAGCCCTGCATTGGACTCTGTGCTGACAGCTTTGGACCTGGAGCCTGATTCGAATTCTTGTCTCCCTGTCTGTCTGCCCCTCCCTTACTCACACTTTGTCTCTCCCTCTCTCTCTCAAAAATAAATAAACATACACCCCTCCTTTTTTCTGAGAGCGAGAGCGAGCGAGAATGAGAGAGAGAGAGAGCGCGCAAGTGCGTGAGCGGAGGGGGCTGGGGGGGCAGGGGAAAGGGAAAATGAGAGAAAGACAGAGAATCTTAAGCAGGTTCCATGCTCAGCACAAAGCCTGATGCAGGCTTGAGCTCATGAACCCTGAGATCATGACCTGAGCTGAAATCATGAGTCGGGCACTTAACCGACTGAACCACCCAGGCACCCCTGTACACCCTTTGATTCAGCAATTTCCTACATATATTTTTGTAAAGGTAGGCCAATATAGATGTGCAACCAGGCTCAATGCAGCATTATTTATAATGGCCTAAATGGAAACAAGAAGTCCTGGCTGAAAAATCACTGCCATTAAAAGAATGTGCTAGAGAGGGTGCCTGGTTGGCTCAGTCACTGGGGTATGAGACTCTTGATCCTGGGGTTGTGAGCTCAAGCCCCGCACTGGGTGTAGAGATTAATTAAAAATGAAATCTTAAAAAAAAAGAAACAATGAGGNATACTTTTTTAAAAAAAGGGCTATCATTTACAGGCACTTGACTGCCTCAGTCTGTGGAGCATGAGACTCTTGATCCTGGGGTTGTGAGCTCAAGCCCCGCACTGGGTGTAGAGATTAATTAAAAATGAAATCTTAAAAAAAAAGAAACAATGAGGGGCTTAAGCGTCCGACTTCAGCTCAGGTCATGATCTCGCAGTCCGTGGGTTCAAATCCCGCATCGGGCTCTGTGCTGACAGCTCAGAGCCTGGAGCCTGCTTCTTCAGATTCTGTGTCTCCCTCTCTCTCTGCCCCTCCCCAGCTTGTGCTCTGTCTCTGTCTCAAAAATAAAATAAACCTTAAAAAAAAAAAGAAACAATGAATGTGCTAGATTTATTAGTGCTGATAGGTAGGAATAAAGCTCCAATATGTGTACTATTAATTGAAAAAAGAAGTTGAAAACAGTAGGTATTAGTACATGGCTCCTTTAGCCTAAATTTTTTAAAGGATACACATGCTCGTATGTGCATTAAATTATGTTCTGAAAAGATAGGGGTGCTGGGTGGCTCAGCTGGTTAACTGTGATCTCAGAGTTCATGGGATCGAGCCCAGCACTAGGCTCTGCCCTGAGAGTGCAGAGCCTGCTTGGGATTGTCTCTCTTCCTCTCTCTCTCCCTCCCCGACTCAAGCATGCACATGCTTACTCTCTCTCTCTCTAAATAAATAAATAAACTTAAAAAAAATTATGTTCTGGAAAGATGTAAGAAACTGCTACAGTTACCTTTGGAGAGAAGGACTAGATAGAGACCAAGAAGGAGAACTGTACTGGTGTAAAAACTTATAGAAATTATAAAAAACATAGACGAGATTCTTTTTTCTTTTTTGTTTCCTTACACTCCTCTTGATATAAACCTTAAATCTAATAAATGTTACTTTAAAATGAAACAATAATCTCACTTAGATTTTTTTTTGTTTTATTTATTTTAATGTTTATTTATTTTGGGGCGGGGGTGGGGGGGGACAGAGATAGAGAATCCCAAGCAGGCTCCATGCTGTCAGTGTGGAGCCCAATGTGGTACTCAAATTCATGAATTGTTAAGATCGTGACCTGAGCCGAAATCAAGAGTCAGTCACTTAACCAACTGAGCCACCCAGGTGCCCCAGATGTTGTTTTGTTTTGTTTTGAAGAAGCCATGTTTAGCAAGAGGTCAAGTAGAAAGGGGAGGAGAACCCAAATACAACGCACAGTAGGAAACTGCTGAGGGAAAATTAGGAGGACGATTAAAACACTTAACCCTTCCTCTTCTCTCAAGACACTGCTAGACAGCACGCACTGTTCCAGCTTTCCAGTGGGGGTGAACAACTCAGGGCCTCACTCCAGCTACTAACTATTCATTACAGTGGTAAGTTTGGAAGGTAGTAGGTTGGGAGAAGGCTGGCATACTTAGCCCAAATCCTGCCCCTTGTAATATGGATAAGGCGGAACAGTTATTCCTAAAGAGTCCTAAGCAGCAGAGAATGTTATAGCTGAACACAGGGCACCACAGGCAGAGACAAGCCTCCGAAGCACATGGTGCAAAGGCACACTAGGGGTCCTGCCACTCGATGCATTTCAGTAGTGTAGGAAAGCAAGGGCTGGGTGCATATGTACCAGACAGGGCAGGGAAATGTCTGCTGCTCTGAGGAGACTCAGGGAGCCCTGCTCAACATCAGGAGCACCCCTCTGAGCTACACAGATCTGCTGCAATAGTTCTAGCTCCCTCTGACTCTCCCATGGTGAGAATTAGCTAGAACTAAATATCACCAAGGAAGATAATCCTCTGTACTTAATTGCCCGTTCATTTGAGTCCCATGAAATAAATCATAACCCCACTTACTTTCCATGATATTCTTCTGCAATATCATTTTACAAAGTAGGAAGTGACCTCCATGCAGAATATCCAGAGGAGCTGACAATACATGTATGTCTTTAAGAAAGCAAGGCTAGCTTTAAGTACAGGTGCCATAAAAGGGTGTCCCTCACCCATGGGATTTAAAGAGCATGAAAGAGCCTCCTATTTGAACCCATCCACACATTTCCCTTAATGACGCCTGGAATTCTTCCAGTAGTGATTTGTATCATCAGTTGAAGATTGTCCTAAATATACTCTTCTAATAGAGCAAACAGAAGGGGAAACACATTAGGTCCCTAACACTATAGTGCAGTGGCTCTTAACCTTTATCATTTTAGCCACTGGTCTGTTTGAAAAACTAAAAAAAGCAAACTCCCATTGCAGCAACGTGCACTCACATGGGTGCATAATATAATTTCCACACAATTTGGGGGATTCACATTTCTCCTGAAGCCTGTGTAAGAAAACCCTCCAGCCTGGAGTTAGGAGACCATGGTTCAGCGGCCGCAAGTTTAACACATTCTTCCCCTTCATCTCCTGTCCCTGCTACGAGAGGTCCCAGGCATCTAGGGAACCCTGGGCCTAAAAACAGAAGGCAGTGAAGGGAGGCTCTCACTGGTTCATCTATTTGCCTTTAATTGTCTTGTCTAGAGTCAGATTACAATTTATGACTCCCTTAGCAAGGAGTGTGCATCTCTCACACTGCCTGTCTCTTGGGGACAGGGCTCCCCTGGCTTCACACATACCAGTATATGTTAAGAGACATCCAACTGAGATCAATAGCCAAACAGGTTTTGACAATGCTTGCTGGCCGATCACATTACCTGAGAGTTGAGGTGGGGGAGATTTTAACACCATATGTATAAAGGGGACTCACCTCTGAGGTTTTCGAATATCCCAGAGTCCCACTCCTTCCTTTGAATTGGCTGTGGCCAATAACCTGGGCTCCACAGGGTTAAACATGACACTGTGAAAGGCTGATGGATAGTTTGCCAGGCAGAAGGGCTCTGTGAATAGAGAAATGACAATCATCCCCATAGCTCACTCAGCAGCTCTGGGCCAGCGGGAGGCAAAGCAGGAAGCACACCCTACAGTAACTGCCCTAGTAGCTGGAGCCCCAAAGTAGTCCATCACCCCAGCAGACATCCCTGCTCACGAGGCCCCAACAAGGACTAGCACACACTTTCTGCACGCAACGTCTGAAAACAGCAACTCTAACACATATAAACAAACTTGAAGCTATAATACTCAGAAATACTATTATACCTCTTCAGATCCTGTGACAAAACAAAAATGGTCACAGTAACTGGGAAGGTAAGCTGTTTTACACTAAGTAAAATTGAATTCCACATGAGCTAAAAAAAAAAAAAATTCACGACCAATTACTAGCAGGATTATTGTACCTTAATCCAAATTTATTAGTTTTAGAAATTAAAAGGTTTTGAAACTACACAAAAACTTAATGAAGACAAAGCAAAACGAGAAAAATGAAGACAAGGAAAATTAATAGTGCAATCTTCCTTTCTCTCTAAACTGCTTCCTAAATTGAGGGGAAAAGAGCCTCAGTCTAGAATTTTATGATTTCACTCCCAGTATTAAAATATTTTTTAAAAAGCATAATATTTGAACTCTTGCATCCAGCCAGCTTCTAATCAACTTCACTTAGAAGCCCTGCAGCCCTCTGTATATATTAACTGGCCCCAGGTGAGGAAGTAATGAGTCACTTTCTACCCAGAAGGAGATCCTCCTGTGAAAGTTGTTTAGAAGCACTAGACAGCACTCTGCCGTATAGGCTATCACATGGGACACTGCACAGGCCTCTAGGCAGGGGTGCTCAGTCACCTCAGCCAGCGAGCAGTGCAGACAAAGAACTTCACCTACCCAGGGCATGGTGGCTCAGCCACAGCTGTTCCTTGGAACTACCTATCTGCCTGGCCCTAAAACAAGCTTCCCTTAAAGCCTGAATCTCAATAATGGGGCACAGCCCAGCACGTTAAAATTCTCTGAATATAGAATAATAAAAAGATCCAGGTCCTGCTAGACAAGACAGGCAGGAAAGTAATTCTGTGTACATAGGTTATGATCGTGACAATACTGCACGAAAAGTGGGTGCAGGGGTGACACCGAGGGTAGAGCTGGAGGAAAGTGTCTTTGAAGACGGGCAGAGTTATAGAATGAACTCTCTATTCAGGAAATAAGCTGAAAAGATGCATTTCCTGAAACACTTCAGAGAAATTCAACAAAACAATTCTTCATTCTTATACTTCAGAAGCTCAAAGAGCACATTTGGAGGAGGAACTCACCTGGATGATCCCCCTTACACAGAGAGTGTTTGCCATCATTTTCAGTTTCTCTAAACAGGTCTGAGATCAGGATGCAAGTGTATAACACATCTGTTCTGTAAATAACCAAGACTCTGTGCATGTCAGCACCACACGCAGAGCTGGCCTTCGGTGGCTACCCTCTACAATGAAGAACTGCCCCTCTATTCCTTGGCGCCACTAAGCACCAAGGCGCTGTGGTGCTTACTGTAGGTCCAAGGGTTTGTGGCGACTCACAAGTGGCTCGAGGAGGGAGAAGAAAGGTGCCTCACTTCTGACTGCTAAGGGGTAGGATGGGACCTCCAGAGGCACACATCTATGCCCCAGCCCAGAGTGTCCTCTCCCTATCCATCTTTCCCACTCAGGTCACTCAGGTCATCAACTGGATCTGTAATGAACGCGACACCAAATTCTTTAACACGGTCCAGCAGCACTCCGACCCTACCTCCATGGGGGGACTCCCGGATGTCCCAGATGAGAACCCGGCCATCATCTGAGGAGCTGGCAAAAATGTTGTCATTCACTGGGCTCACTGATAAGCCATATACTGCATCTTCGTGAGCAAACACATCCAAGGTCTCGCTGCTGAGAGACAGAGAGCAGAGAGAGGCACACAGGCACACACGTGCATACACAGAGTGCAGAGTCCCAGCCCCAGAGTTCCTCGGGTAGGGTTCTCTCTCATTTCCAGTAGAAGGTCAATCTAGCGAAACCCAAAGGAGACTGTATTTCCTTAGAAAGTAGGTACTCAATTTCAGGTAAAAAATAAATTCTACTGGGGCACTTGGGTGGCTCAGTCGGTTAAGTGTCTGACTTCGGCTCAGGTCTCAATCTCATGGTTCATGAGTTCGAGCCCCGCGTCAGGTTCTGTGCTGACAGCTCAGAGCCTGGTGCCTGCTTCAGATTCTGTGTCTCACTCTTTCTCTGACCCCTGTCCAACTTATGCTCTGTATCAAAAATAAATATTAAAAAAAAAATTCTTATATAAAACTTCCATTAAAAATGTTGTTATAGACTTCATGGTAAATTTGCTTTTTGCACTAAATGAGCATATTTGAAAGTGGCTCAATAGATGAGTTTAGTGTTTTCACTTACTGCAGAATGCATCTGCTTCTGTACAGATTTGGAGGTGGTGCTTGATTTCCAAAAACAAAGGAAAACTTTAAAGCAGACAGGTGTGATGTCAGCAGGCGTAGAAGAGGGTGATCTGGCAATCTGGTATGGTGAGCAAGAGCAAGGCTCTGGGGCCAGGCTGTCTAGGTTCAGATCCTAGCACCACCTGACCATAAGTTATCTAGCATCCCTACACCTTAGTTTCCTCATCTGCAATGAGACCATTAATAGGATTGCTTCATAAAATTATTTTGAGGGTTAAACTGATTAATACATACAAAGCACCTAGAATAGTACCTGGCACATAAAGATTAGTCATTATTATGTTGTTTCCTTCTCTTCCAATCTCTCCCCTTTAAATTTTTACCTAAAAAGCATAAGTTCATTCCAACTTTACAAACCCTTTCCTTTTTGTAAATCAAAATTGTATTTCAAAAAACAATATTGGTGTAAAGGGAATTTGCCTCTCTTCATATGAAAAATAGTCAGCCACCTTCACATACCAACAGTCTATTTACCTTTCAACATCATGGAGGATAACTTGCTCATCATTTCCTGTAAGGGAGAAAAGCAGACATTTGAAAATTCCTGCAAAGTGCTCTCTGTCCATATTATAACATAACATTTTAAAGTTTTCAGAAAACATATGAACAAAGTCAATGTTAATACAAAGTAGGAGTATTAATTAGAAAAAAGCTTTATAAAATGAATTCCAGAAGGATAGGATATTCTTTTCTTTGAGAGAGACAGAGAGAGCAAGCAAACAGCAAGTGGCAGAGGGGCAGAGGGAGGGAGGAGGAAGGGGGAGGGAGGTAGGGAGGAGGGAGAGAGAGAGGGAGGAAGGGAGAGAGGGAGAGAGGGGGGGAGAGAGAGAGAGAGAGAGAGAGACAGAGAGAGACTCTAAGTAGACTCCACACTGGACACAGGGCTCAATCTCATGACTGTGAGATAATGACCTGAACCAAAATCAAGAGTCAGATGCTTAACCAACTGAGCCACCCAAGTGCATGGATAGGATATTCTTATAAAGAATTTTTGAAAGTTTTGTAACAACTAGGTATAATATAAGTTTCCAAAATGTATTATTCAATGGAATATATAGCTATAGATATATGACCACCATCACAACAACAAAAAAACTGTGGCCATTAAGTAAAAGAATAAATAATCATGGGTAAATTAATTCATTCATCCAAGCTAGCTTTTTTTTTTTAATTAAGCAAAACACTCAACTGTGAAACTTGGAATACAGATATTTTATGCCTGCGTTTTTTTTACCTATAATATAGAGGTGATAATTGTACATACTTCATAGGGTCATTGTGAGGATAAGAGTACATTTGTAAGACCATTCAGAATAGGGCTGAGCTTAGTAAGCTCCCAGGAAATGTTTGCTACTATTCATATCCTTATCATCTTTGATAGCATTAAAATGTGATGATTGTAGGATTATAAATGATGGGAAAGTTTTTCCTCACAACTTTTTTCTCTTCCACTTTTTATTTATTCCATCAAGAAATCTAAAAATACTACATTCACGATTATGTGCCGTCCTGCCTTCAAATGGTTTATATAACCAAACATAAAAACCGGAAAATGAAAAGACAAAAAGTAAAAACAAATCCCCCTCTATGCTGAAAGCACAGCCAACAGGCACTTAAACAGAAAGTAAAAGTAGCGGTAGAGATGTGGCCCAGGTCATCTTAAATCCCTGGCTATACACTCTATTGTGGGTGTATACCAAGCAAATGAAAGCCATACTAATGCCTTCTAGGGAACAGGAACAGCTGAGGTGCTAGGGCGACAAAAAGAGTAAGATTCTGCCTGCCCCTGAGGAACTCCCAGTCCAACTACACAACAATGACAAAATGGGTTATCCTGTTGTAGTGATATGCTCTACAATGGGGACACGGACAAAGGAGCAATTCTATTCTTCAGGAGTAGGTTGAAAGTACATGGCAGAAGAGATCAAGAGTTTTTATAGGGAAGAAGACATATGAACAGAAACTCCAATAACCCAAAACTCTTACCAATGAAGACTCAGGGGAACTGGTGGGGACTGGTCAGTTACATGACCCATGACAGAACAGCAAGAGCAAACAATACAAGGGCACCTAAGATGACAAGTGGTTTAGTGGGCTAGAACACAAGATGTGGGGGCGGGGAGGCTACAGAGGTAGACTGAAGTTTAGACTTTGTCCTGTGGACACTGCAGGGTCACAGGTTCACATGGTTAAACTTTATTTTTAAAAGAAAACTTGTATAAGTGATAAATTAGAAGGAGGGTTAGAGACTGGTTGCAGAAATCATATAGGCCACTGCAACAGTCCAGGTCAAAGATGAGGGCCTGAAGCAGGGCAGTGGGTAAGGAAAGAGAGCAGAAACTAAAAGGATGAATAGGAGAGGCTTTCAAGTCTAGTTGGTGAGTCACAAGATAGGTAAATGAAAGAAAGGAAGGTTTGAGGATGACTTCAAGATTTCTATTAGACTGAACCACATGAAACTGTCATTTTTTTTGTAAGTTAAAAGTGCTTGAGGGGCACCTGGGTGGCTCATTTGGTTAAGCGTCTGACTTCGGCTCAGGTCATTACCTCACGGTTCTTGGGTTTGAGCCTCATGTCGGGCTCTGTGCTGACAGCTAGCTCAGAGCCTGGAGCCTGCTTCAGATTCTGTCTCCATCTCTCTCTGACCCTCCCCTGCTCACGCTCTGCCTCTCTCTCTCAGAAGAAAGAAAAAAAAAAACATTAAAAAATTTTTTTTTAAAAGTGCTCGATATTAGGGGTGCTTGGGTGGCTCAGTTGGTTAAGTATCCAACTCTTGATTTCAGCTCAGGTCATGATGATCTCAATGGTTTGTGAGTTTGAGCCCCACATCCAGTTCTGCGCTGACAGTATGGAGCCTGCTTGAAATTCTCTTTCCCCCTCCTCCCTACCAATAAATAAAAATAAAAACTTTTCTTAAAAGTGCTTCAAAATAAGCAGTTTCTTGAAGTTTAAACCTAATAGCTTGAATCATTAGGTGAACACTGATAATAACTGAGAAAAAGAATCCAGGGAATAAGAGTAGATATTTGTGCAGGGGAGGAAGACTAATAATCTTGGTTTTAGATTGGCTGCACTTAAATTGCTTTTAGAACACATAAGTAGATATTTCATGGGAAAATTTGCAGTGCAAAATGGAGGTCAGGGCTACAAATGCAGTGCCCAGAAAGGAGTGTGGTTGATGAAAGCCATCACCAAGATGCTGGCTTGAGCACAAGCCATTCCAATTGTACCCTAACACAATGTTTTTCAAATAGGAGCCACTACCCATGGATCACAACATCGATTTGAGTTACAACCTTTAAGGTCTTTAAAAATAAGGGGTGCCTGAGTGGCTCGGTCAGTTAAGCACTTGACTCTTGATTTTGGTTCGGTCATGATCTCACAGCTGTGGGTTCGAGCCCCACATCAGGATCCATGCTGATAGTGAGAAGCCTGCTTGGGATCCTCTCTCTCTCTCTCTCAAAATAAGTAAACATTTAAAAAAAGATCTTTAAAAATGAAATAGAATTTTTTAAAAATTAGAATGTACCACACATATCAGGGTTAAGTACTATTTTAAATCTGTGTTTCTGTATACCAGATTGCAATGTAAAAAATTTTCTATCAAAAAACAGAGAAAGGGTGCGCCTGGGCGGCTCAGTCAGTTAAGCATCCAACTTCAGCTCAGGTCATGATCTCATGGTTTGAGTTCGAGCCCCGCATCAGGCTCTGTGCTGACAGCTCAGAGCCTAGAGCTTGCTTTGAATTCTGTGTCTCCTTCTCTCTCTGCCCCTTCCTTGCTCTTGCTGTGTCTCTCAAAAATAAACATTAAAAATTAAAAAAAAAAAACAAAAAAACAGAAAGAATGAGAGTAAAGGATCAAAAGAACAGAAGGAAGGAGGGAAGGAAGGAGGAATGACTCTCACATACATGTCTAAACTGCTGTAATGCAGAAAAGACGAGCTATGGGAAACCATTTCTACAGCTCAGAGAAATAAAGGAAGAAAAACAGGAGTTATTTTAGCACTCTTTTATCTAAAATCCCAGCCAAAGTGAATTTCCTAAGGTGGAAATCTCCCTTCTTCTCACCTCCAGAGAATACTTTGGTGTTCCCACTGTTGAAAGCCAGGCAAAAAATGTTGGAATGGTGCTCTCCTTTCAGCTGTATGGGCTTGACTCTCGAGTGGATAGCTTGTTCCATGTGCCATAGCAGAACCCGGCGGTCATCTCCTCCTTGAGAGGGGAATAAGAATCCATGGTTAAAACGGCGGACACTTCAAGACTGAAACTCAGTCTTGCCGGCCTTGAACCCTATCCTTTCCAAAACTGCATCTCCCCAACTCTGTGAGATTTTGATGGGGCACATTCTCTACTGCCTTAACCATCAGTAGACATATGGTCTTTTAGCCATGTGCTTTTCCCCAGGAATTAAAACTTGAACAGACATATGGAAATGGAAAGGGATTAAACACTGATACTGAAACCTGCAAAGCCACCCTATTCCTGACTTTCTGGAGACTCAATTGTTTCAGTATTTCTTTGCTTGCTACCTAAAATCCTTCTACTAATGTTTCTGCCACCCGTTTTTTGTCTAACAGAAGCAGAGCTGGTGTCGAGTGCTGGCCACCAAGGAACTCTAAGGTAATATTTCTAGCAAAATAGTTTTCAAAGCACTCTCCTTGATGTGATTTCAATGACTATGGGACAGCATACAAATGGTAACTAAGGAATTGACTGTCACAGCAGGATCTAGACAGAGCCTAGCTCTCATGAAGCCCAGTCCAGCTCTTTCCTCTGCATAACTCACCATAGTCTGAGTTAAATGAGCAGTATTGTATTGTATGAGCCCGCTCGTAGAGAATGGGAATATGTATGTTCTATGTATTTTTTATTTTTGCAGATGCATTAAAAATGTCTAGAAGGATGAATAATTGTTAAGTGTTAACAATGGTTAACAGTGGTTATTATTTCCAGGGAATAGGATTAAAATAAGAACAGATTGGAGGGGTTTTACTTTTATTTATCTGGCACTGCCTTTTTATAACAAGCCTATATTATTCTCCTAATTAATAAAAATTAAGTTACAACAGGGGCAAACATGAGCAGCAAAGCACAGCATTCTCTATTCCTCTTCTTTCCTCCTCCACTCGATACAACAGCCACGAATTATAGCACACCCATACAAGGGTATACCATGCAGCCATGAAATCAGTAAATCTATAGGAATTTGGAAAGCTGTCCAAAGGTCTTTGTTAAGGGGGAAAATAAGGTGTAAAACACTATGTGTATCAAAATCCATTTTGTGTGAAACAAAATGTTTAAAAGCTCTAGGACTATAGGACCTTGTCAATTTTGTTTACTGTGGAGTCTCCAGCACCTAAATGAGTGCCCCCAAAGAGTAGAACTACTATATGCATACTTGCATATCTATGTTTGTATTTGCCTATCTATAGATCTATAAAAGAAATTGTTGATAGTGGACACCATTTCCAGACTAGAGTTGGGAGACATTTTTGTTGTGGTAAAATACGTTAAGTTTATCATTCTAACCATTTTTAAGTATACAATTCTATATACTTGGACTGTATCCTTGCACATACTGTGTATTCGCACTGCTATACAGCCATCACCACTATCCATCCCCAGAACCTTTACATCATCCCAAACTGAAACTCTGTACCCAATAAACAATAACTTACCCTGCCCCCAGTAACTACCATTCTACTTTCTGCCTCTGTGAATTTAATTGTTCTCGCTGATTCGGATAAGTAGAACCATATAATAGTTGTCTTTCTGTCTGTCTTATTCACTTTGCATAATATCTTCAAAGTTCATCTATATTGTAGCATGTGTCAGAATCCCATTCTTTTTTAAGGCTAAATAATATTCTGCTATACACATATACACACACCATATTTTGTTTATCCATTCATCCACTGGTAGACATTTGGGTTGTTTTCGCTTGTTGGCCACTATGAATAAAGCCACTAAGAACATGGTGTGCAAATATCTGTTTGAGTCCCTGCTTTTAATTCTTTTGGGATTATACTATTGGGAACCTTCCATATTTTTTTATTTCCAATTTTTATTTAAATTTTCATTAACATGTATGGTAAAATTGGTTTCAGGTGTAGAATTTAGTGATTAATCACTTACATACAATACTCAGTGGTCATCACAATAAGGACCCTCCTTAATATGGATCACCCATTTAGCCCATCCCCCAGACTTCTCCCTCTGAAAACCAACCCTGAGTTTGTTCTCTATAGTTAAGAGTCTCTTACAGTTTTCTTCTCTCTCTTTTTCCCCGTCTTCCCCTATGTTCATCTGTTTTGTTTCTTAAATTCCACATACAAATAAAATCATATGGTATTTGTCTTCTGACTGACTTATTTCGCTTAGCATAATACACTCTAGCTCCGTACATGTCATTGCAATGCTGAGTAAATATTCCATTGTGTATATATACACATTTTTACCCATTCATCAGTCAATGAATTTGGGCTGTTTCCATAATTTGGCTATGTTGGTAATTCTGCTCTAAACATTGGGGTGAATGCACCCTTTTGAATCAGTATTTTTGTATTCTTTGGGTAAATACCCAGTAGTGCACTTGCTGGGTCATAGGATAGTTCCATTTTTAACTTTTTGAAGGCACTCCATTCTGTTTTCTAGAGTGGCTACACAAGTTTGCATTCCCACCAACAGGGCATGAGAGTTCTTTTTCTCCACGCCATCACCAACACCTGTTGTTTCCTGTGTTGTTAATTTTATCCATTCTGACTGGTGTGAAGTAGTATCTTATCATGGTTTTGATTTGTATTTCCTTGATAATGATTGACGTTGAACATCTTTTCATGTGTCTGTTAGCCATCTGGATGTCTTCTTTGGAAAAGTATCTGTTCATGTCTTCTGCCCATTTCTTAACTGGATTATTCAGTTGCTGGGTGTTGAGTTTGATAAGTTCTTTATATATTTAGGATACTAACCCTTTGTCAAATATGTCATTTGCAAATATCTTCTCCCATTCCATAGGTTGCCTTTTAGTTTTATTGACTGGGGAAATTTTATATCTCACATTTTAATTTTTACTTTATACCTTCCTGTAATACTTGACCTTTTGCCAGAAACATATTTCCTTTTATAATAATTTTAAAAATCAACAGAAAATACAGTAGCCAAGTCAAACTTATTCTCCTTCCCCTAAAAAGAAGTTGCCTTTGCTGCTTGAATTCCTTCTTTCTGTTGGTCAAAATCAAATTCTGTGTCCTCTTCCAAAGTGTTTCATTGTCTACCAAACTGATCCCTTACGTGTGGCCTGGTGTTCTGTGTTTATGAGTCTATTTCAACTCTGAATACTCTGGTCTCGGATAGGTATCTAAATTCTGTATCTTAGGATGGCTGCCTGGCTCAGTCAGCAGAGCATGCAACTCTTGATCTCAGGGTTGTGAATTTAAGCTCCACTTTGGGTGTAGAGATTACTTAAAATCTTTTTAAGAAATTCAAATTTCTTAGAAGTTTAAGTCATAAAAATAAAGGTTTGGGTTCTCGTTTTTTGTTTCAATGAATAATGACACAAAGGAATTTTTTTCCCTATTAACAGATTCATATAGGCAGCGGGCACTTCAGTTCTCCATAATCCCTACTCTTTACTGTTTTTTCCCAACATTGAGGCCACAGGTCAGGGACCTATCACAGCTCTTGCTACTATCCTATATTACAGAAATACTTCTCTGTACCCATGTCTATCAAAAGTGGAAATTCAAAAAATAAAGAGGCCCACATGTTTCTTCTACTTACTCATGTTTCTAATCTAATCTCCCTGAGTCTTAGTTTCAATATAAAATATATTGAATGAGAATATAAATGAGAATCAGAACAGCTCTACTGATCCTACAGTTTTATAGACTTATAAAGCCAAATACAAGAGGGTTAAGTAACTTACCAAGGTTGCACAGTAAGTAAAGTGGTTGAGCTGAGATTCAAAAGCAGTTAAGACTCTTATAGCCTCCATTCTTAATCACTACTCTAGGTTGCCTGCCTTATAGAACAAAAAATCAACCATAAATGACAAAGCAGTTCATCTAAAGGACAACTGAAGGGTTTCTCTACCTTGGTAACATAACTGAAAAATGTGTAATTTAGAATAAAACAGGGAAGCATAGGAATAAATCAGAGGCCAACCAAACTGTAGTAAACTGAGAGACCAGGAACATGGACTTCACAAAAAGACTCCCTGAATTGAAAGATTCTAGCAATACACAAAACTGACAATGGCTTATACAAAGAATTCCTACAAATCAATTTTTAAAACCAGAGGCTTTTAAAATTAAAGGAGAGGAAACCCAAATAGCCAAAAGATGATATTGAGGATCTCAACCTCTATAGTAATCAGGGAAATGCAAATTATAATTTCAATACATTCTTACAAAGTGACACAAGGAAATGTACAAAGATGTATACTGCATCACTGTTTATAATAGCAAAAACCAAAACAACACAAATATCCATCAATATATAAATTAATAAATTCCACTGGGATACAAATACAAATTAAATCTAAACCAAACAGAACAACACACAGCAGTTAAAATGAACTAGATATATGTGTCCCAACATGAATAAATCTTGAAAACTTAATGGCAAGTAATAAAACGAGTTTCAGAAAGATATGTAAAATATAACATTAAGTATATATTTTTGATTATATATGGTATAAAGTCATACCATATATTGTTTGTGGATAAACATACATATTCTAAAGGGGACTTCAATTGTACCTGTAAATTTTTGTTTCCTTAAAAAAAAAAAAACTATAAGCAAATTTAACAAATTGTCAACATTTTCTCAAATCCATTGGTTTTGTGCCAATACCATACTGTTTTGATGATTACAGCTTTGTAGTAGAGGCTAAAGTCTGGGATGGTGATGCCTCCCGTTTTGGTTTTCTTCTTCAATATTACTCTGGCTATTCGGGGTCTTCTGTGGTTCCATACAAATTTTAGGATAGTTAGTTCTAGTTTTGAGAAGTATGCTGGTGCAATTTTGACTGGGATTGCAGTGAATGTGTAGATTGCTTTGGGAAGTAATGACATTTTAACTATATTTATTCTTCCAATGGAATAGAATTGAGAACTCAGAATTGGACCCAAAAGTATACAGCCAACTAATCTTTGACAAAGCAGGAAAGAGTATCCAATGAAAAAAAGACAGCCTCTTTAACAGATGATGCT